TTCCGTCCGTGCCAGTGTTTCGACATTGGTAGCGGAGCCTGGGGTAATAGACCCTGGGCTCCGAGACGGATCTTGGCGCCGCCATGAATGCCACGTCGAGCGACCATGGAGGTCTCAAGTATTTTTCCGGTGATAGCGAAGACCAGAAAGAATATCGTCGCTGGAAAGCATGGGTCCAAGCAAAGATGCTTACCCTAGACAAGATGCCCAAGGAAGCCCGTGGTGCATACGTGTTCACTCTGCTGTCTGGCAAGGCCCTGGAGTGTGTGGAACACTTAGAGCCATCAAAATATCAGACTGCTGATGGAGAAAAGGTTTTGTTTGAGCTTTTGGACGCCCGCTTCCCTCAGAAGGAGATGTCGGATGAGATGTCCGAGACCCTGACCGAGATCTTCAATCTGAAGATTCACGAAGGAGAAAGCCTCAAGGCTTGGATCAGCCGTGCTTCGGAGATGTTTGACCGCTGCTTGAGGAAAACCAATGTTTCCTTCCCGGAAGAGGCCAAGGGCTGGTTGATTTTACATAGAAGTGGCCTCTCCAATGAGCAGAAGGCGGTCTGCTTGGCTCGGTCTTTGGGGGTGCTCAAACGCGAAGAGGTTGGCAAGGCAATGAGATCCTGCTATCCAGAGTATGTAGGGTCGAAGAAGTCACACTCTGGAGCAGCTGTTGTTGAGACCGACTTCATGGAGCCGGACCTACAACAGACTGTTGATTCTGCTGAGGAGTTTCACGATGTCGAACAGTTCTTAGCTGAACACGAACTTGGAGAAGCCCTCGACGACTCCGAGTGTTTCGAAGAAACGGAGGTGGCTGAAGCTTTAGCAGCTAGCTGGAAAGACAAGCGTCAAGAGCTCAACCGCTTGCAGAAGGCTCGTCGCTTCTCCCAGGCCACTGATGTGAGACGCTCATTCCGCGTCGAGGTCGAGGAGTTGAAGAAGAAGACCAAGTGCCATCGCTGCGGACAGATAGGCCACTGGGCTCGTGACTGTCGCCAAGGGGGTAAAGCCAAAGGAAAAGGTGCAAAGGGTGTTGATCGCCCCCGTGAATCCGGAGCTGCCGTGGTGGTTGAAGAGACACCTGAGTTCTTTGTCGCCATGGTACAATCACACATGACCATCCTGGAGCGCCTTAGGCTGAAGCGTGTTGCCTCGACCTTCGAAGTTGATGGAGGTCCAGCTGCAACGGAGTGCCTATTGGTATCGAGCCCCGGTTTTGGGGTCATTGATTCTGGATGTGGACGCACCATTATTGGCAAAGACACCTTGGCATCCTTCCAAAAGCTTTGGAAAGATCGTGCCGTCCCTCTTCCGGTGGCCGAACCTGAGGAAAATCACTTTCGCTTTGGAAACGGAAACAAAGAAGTTTCTTCTGAAGTGGTGCCTATGCCGGTCAACATTGCTGGAAGAACTGGTGTGATTCGAGCTGCAGTGGTGCAAGGTCGAGCTCCTCTCCTGATCTCACGCTCAGCTCTGCAGAAGTTGAAAGCAGTGCTGGATTTTGATCAGTGCCGCATGACGTTGTTCGATGGAGCATGTCACGTCCCTCTGCAGATCAATGCTGCCGGACAATTTGTGATTGATGTGATTGGCTCAAAAAGTGATCGTGTGCCCACCTCGCCGAAGCCGCCTGATTTTGAAGAAGTGATGGCTTCTGTTCCTGATGCAGTGGAAACCTCCACTGTGGCCGATGATCATGCCGCTCCTGACGCAGAGCCTGAGTCTCTTCGGTCAGAACCCGTTGAGTCAGATGAGTGCTCTGCGAGTCCCTCGGATGTGCATAAAGATGTGTCCATATGGTCTCGTTTCGATTCGGATTTGACCTTGACACCCATCACCGGAAAGAATTCCCCACTATGGCGAACTGTTTTTTCGTAGAGTGATCCAGGACATAGACACTGGCACAATCGTTTTCGATCAAACGATAGATCCAAAGGAAGACAAACGCAAATACGTGCAGCCAATGCCAAAGCATGTTCGCCGAACACGAACTGATTTCCATTTCACGCCCCAGGAATGCCTGTGCTCGACTGAGTGTCTGCCTGTACAGGTTGTCAGGAAATTGAAAGCATGTGTCCGTGAAGCCCCTCAGAGTGCTGGCACTAGGCTCGATGGCCGTCGTTTTCTCGTAGCCGAAGTGTTTAGTCCACCACGCTTCACTGGTCATATCCCGAAATGAAAAGGCTTTGTGATACTTATCACCCTGTCAAGTGTCATATGTGCCGGTTCGGGTTGAAGCTCCCTCAAAGTGATCGGTATATTCGCAAGGCCACTCAATTGCTGCTGAGTCATGAGCACATGAAGGGGTTATCACGCGTGTGTCCGGGGAAACAGGATCCACATCATAGCTGTCATGACATGATTGCTGGATCTCACCCTGATGTTGGCTCCGTGAGTCAGTATACAGCTCAGTACACTCCAGCTTTTGTTCGTGCGGTCCTTCGCACTGTGCCAGCATTTTTGCAAGGCTGTCGAATCCCATTTGGTCCAGGTGCAGAATGGTTGTTCCATGGAAATGCATGAAGTGCTAGCTAGCCGTGAAGAATTGCAATGTGAAGACGATGACAGCATCACTAAAGCACTTCAGAAACTGCATAAAAACCTAGGACATCCAGCAACTCATGATCTTGTGAGGATTCTGAAGCATGGTTCTGCATCTAATCGGGCCATCGAACTGGCAAAGAACCTGAGCTGTGACTTTTGTAAGGCCAACATCCGACCACATGTGCCACTTCCCGCTCGACCGAACCGAGTCAACGCTTTCAACCAGAGTGTCGGAGTGGATGTAAAATGGTTGCCAGGGTTCAAACCAAATCAACAAATCAAAGCACTGAACATGGTAGACCAAGGCAGTTGTTTTCAACAGGTTGTGCCTTTCTTCGAGCAAGAAACCACTGAAGTGATTCGCAAGCTGTTTGATACCCACTGGGTTAAATGGGCAGGACCACCCCAAGAAATCATCGTTGATCAGGCTAGAACCAATCTAGGAGAAGCTTTTCAGGGATGGCTGGACAATCAGGGAGTTTCCGTTCGCATGATCCCCGCCGGTGCACACTGGCAACTCGGCAGGACAGAATCTCACGGAGGATGGTTTGGTCGAGTTTTAGATAGGGTCATCCAAGAACATGCACCTTCCAATCAAGCGGAATGGGAGGAATGCGTTCGACATGCCCATGTTAAGAACCATATGATCCAGAGCTATGGATATACACCTCACCAGCATGTTTTCGGACGCAACCCGGAACTTCCTGGAGACTTGCTGAATGAACCACTCCATGTAGTCCCCGGCACTGCTGGTCTCAGCGATGATGCGGTAGCACGAGCTCAAGCTATTCGCACGAGCGCCCGACATGCAGTCATTGCATTGCAGGACGACAAGGCACTTCGCCATGCATTGGCTGCCAGACCTAGGGCGACAATTCATTTTTGTCCGGGAGACCTTGTGTGTTATTGGCGAAACCAAAAACTAGTGGGAAAAGGGGTCGTGCAACAAGGTGGACGTTGGTACGGCACTGCCGTCATCATAGGTCAGATAGGAAAGAATTGGATAGTTGCTCATCGACGTCAAATCATCAGGTGCGCTCCAGAGCAGCTCCGTCCAGCCACCACCGAAGAACGGACTCTGATTTCGTCGCCTCAAGCTGAGTTGTTAGGTGTGAAAGATCTCATTGAGGGAGGAACCTTCAAAAGCCACCAACTGATTGATTTGGTCCCAGGTCACTACCCTACCAGTGAATCTAGTCAGCAGAGTCCGGATACAGGCACACAAGAGAACCCCGATGTACAGAAACCTGCTGTGGACGAGAAGGCAGTGACACCTCCCAGTGTTCAACCGATGACTAGAGATGATGAACCAAAGCCGACCATCCAACCACCAGACTGGAACGCAGAACAAAGCAATGTGCCATCAAACACCAGCAGTGCATCAACTGACCGTCCTAGGGATACACCTCAAGCAGAATCTAGTTCTTATGGTCCCATCCGCAGACGGGTCGATCAGAAGTCAGGTGCCACCGCGTTGTATCGTCCAGCAGCCATGAGACAAGAAGACTTCTTGGAAGTCATCAAAGAAGTCGTGCCTCGTTTAATTGATGAAGCCATGCAACCGACCGATGAGTCCATGGATGCCGGCTTGAAACGACCTTTGACGCCATCTCATGCCGATGAAGTCCAGGAACCACCGACTTCGAAACACAGAGGTTCTGAGGATGATGAAGTCCTTTCTGTAGAGGAAATCAATCAACACTTGTCTCAAGGGTCCATCGAGTCTTTGATTGCAGCGTACATGGAAAAGAAACTAAGTAAAGAAATTCCTCCATCAAAAAAACCCCCCAGAACTGCAGAAGCTAGTAGATGAATCAAAGGGAGTTGAATGGAACACAATAGCGGATAAGCAAGCAATTCGCTTACACTTCGGTAAAAAAAGGCTTTGAAAATCAAGGAACAGTTCGCCGATCGATTCATCGGTTCTCGATTCGTGATTATTCGCAAAGCAATTCAGGACGGCCCGGGATAGCCGTAGACATACATGATCCAACCACTTTCAAGATCAAGAGTCGATGGGTGGTTCAAGGTCATCTCGATCCTGACTTAGCCTTGAAAGCCGAAGAAGGCATGCTTCAGTCGCCGACCTTAAGCCAACTAGGTAGGATGACCTTAATGCAAGTCATCGCATCTTTCCGTTGGAAACTGCAACTTGGTGACATCAAAGGAGCATTCCTTGAAGCCGGCTCGTTGCCTGAAAAGTACAGACCGCTATATGCCAAGATGCCTCCTGAAGGCATACCCGGAGTTCCAAACCGGGAGGACGTGGTGATCGAGATCGTTGGAAATATCTATGGACAGAACGATGCACCAAGAGCTTGGCACCGAACGTTTGACACTGAAGCTCTGAAACTCGGCTGGACTCGATCGATCTTGGATCCTTGTTTGTACACCTTGCGTTGTCCCAAGACACAAAAACTGGTGGGCATTATGGGAATCCATGTAGATGATACTGCAGTAGGCGGTGATGGTCACTACTTTGAAGAAGTGTTAGGACAAATGAGATCTCGGTTTCCCTTTCGAAAATGGCGCATTGGCAATGGTGAGTTCTGTGGTGCTCTGTATGAACAATGTGAGAAAACGGGTGAGATCACCATGTCACAACAATCCTTTGCAGAGGGCCTTCGACCCGCGTCAATTCCGAAGGGAGTGCCAGCCTCTCAACCCCTGACTGATCAGCAGTCTCGAGTTCTAAGGGCAATAAACGGGAGTCTCAACTGGCTATCATCGCAAAGTCGACCTGATCTTTCTTGCCAAACCAATATGTGTCAACAAGGGTTTCCCAAACCAACCATTCACAATCTCCGAGAAGCAAACAATGCTATCCGTAGAGCAAAACAACACAAAGACTTGAAGATCTTGTTCAAATCCATCAAACCGGGAGATTTGACGGTGTGTTGTCATTCTGACGCAGCCTTTGCAAATGTGGGTTGTCATACTCAAGCAGGTTATGTGTTGGCCTTTGAAAAGCAGTTGAATGAAGGAAAACTATCTGCCTGGACTCCAGTGACTTGGCGTAGCTACAAGCTTCCTCGAGCTGTGAGCTCCACTCTAGGGGGGGAGAGTCAAGCGCTGGCAACCGCCAGCGGCACCAAGCTTGATGCTGGCGGAGATCTTGGACGGACCTTTCGATGCTCGTGAGGCCAGAGAGTTGTTGAAAAAGAGGTCCCCAATAGTCACTGTCAAGAGACCCCCAGTAATGGCTACCGATTGTAAAAGTCTTTATGATCATTTGGTGTCACCATCATCCCCAACAGCTATTGAGGATCGCCGAACAAGCATAGACATCGTGATCTTGAGAGAATCGTTGAAACTCACCGGAGGATGCATTCGCTGGCTGCCCACGAATAGAATGATCGCCGACGGACTGACGAAGGACCGTCAAGAGCCCGCAGACCTTTTGCGAGCGTGCATCCGACAGGGGGTGTACCAGATTTCTCCAGAAGACACCATCCTTCAGCAGCAGGCAGAAGAAAGATTGCGAAGACAGCACTTAAAGAGTGCTACTCTGCCGGAGGGGACGAATTCGTAATAGTATATATCCGGCAATTTGATCGCTTCTTTTAGATGTGCTAAAATATACACTTCAATCCAATAGGGATGGATTGTAACGGGTTATTTGAGTTCGTGAGAAGCTTTTGACTTGCGGTTTATCACTTCTGCATGTTTTTGCAAATAGTGCATTTGTCAAGGTGTATGCTGCGAGGTTTCGTGTCCACAGTCTCTGGTTTTTGGTTGTTTTGAGTATTGTGTTTACTTGTGATCTCAAGTGCTTTTTGTTTGTTTGCATAGCGTTTTGTGTCAAGCAAGCTGATTCAAGCGAAGTCACGATCTTGCATTCTTTGTTTTTCTCGAGCATCATGCCATTGACGCCTGAAGAGCACAGCCAGCTGAAACATCTGCTGGAAAAGGCCTCGACCGATTCAGCCACAAGACCATCCTTGTTGGTGGAAGGACCACCTGAGAGCTCATCGTTTTTCGTTGGTGATACTGACCAGTCCGAGGCCGGCTTTAGTCTTGTCCCCTTCTCCAATGAGGTTGGGGGAGCTATGACAGACGCGTCCAAGCGTCGTGACGGGTCTTTGATGGAGCACCAACAGCCAAAGAAGCCTCATGCCATGCCCAAGGCCGTGTTTCCACTTGGAGCGATGGGAGCCGCACCAATGTCCTCCTTCTCCCCTGAGCATGTCAGCGGAACACCTATGATGAACAGTTCCGATGCCTCAGCTGGATATGTCGCTTCAATTCAGTTTGCACCACCCATGCCTCAGTCCGAAAAGTCTTCGAATTTGGTACCTGAGCTGCCGCCACAGGTAGAAAGTTTGGAAGAATGGGGTCGCACAGTGATCCAATTCGGGCAGTACAAAGGCTGCAACATGTCATATGCCGAGCTTGCCAGTTCCGAGGACTCTCGAGCCAAGAGCTACATCAAGTGGGTGACGGCTCGTCACCGCAGCTCGACAGGTTTGTTGCATGATCTCGCAGGATACCTGGTAAGGTACCAATTCGAGATCGATTACCGCCTTGATGAGGCCTGGTCCGGTACTTGCATTCCCGGAACCTCAGTGCCACGAGCCATGAAGTGAAAGAAAAGATAAAACAGTGAATGTTGAAAGCTTCCATGAATGCCACCAGCACTCTTCCTTTCAGGTT